TGGAGCCCCGGAGCCCGGCAAGCGGAGGGCGCGGCGGGCGCCTCGCGCCAGCCGGCTCCGCGCTGCTCCTGCCGCTTGAGAACAGCTGTAAGCTGGCCCATCCCGACGAGAGGAGACTTTAAGGATTACTACGTTAGTTAACAACAATTAATTATAAGCTAGCTAACTTACTGAAAGATGAATACAAGTGCGTTTAGTAAGAGACACTGCCTGAACAGGACTCGCTGTAAAGCCGCAGCAAGCCCCTGCCCTGGCAACAGCGCGCAGGTAAGCCCAGTGTAACCGGAGGACGAGCGGGGCATAGCACTGCATGAAAGGCTCCGTGCCAATTTTTAGTTTATAGTTTTAGCTTATAGCTTTTTCAAAAAGCAGGAGAAATAGCAATACCTTTTTTCTGATTCCAGCTCAATCAGAAACAAAGTCAAACTTTTTTTTTTTTTTAAACCAGCTTCAGGCATAGCAATGCATTTTTTTTTTCCTCACGGCTGATTCCTATGTGCAAAAAGATGTCTACGATCAGCACTTACGCATTACTCAGAACCGCTTAGCAATCTTAAAACTCTTAAAAATTAGTAAGTTGGAAAGCTGGGAAATGAACTGCTCTCAGTAAATTGCTCTTCTCTACTCGAATGCACAGCAATCTTGTAATACAAATCCACAGAAATAAGCTCATATTTCACACCAGACATGAAAAGTAAAACCAAGGCAGTTATAGATAAAACCGCAGCCCTTATAAAAGCCTGAAGACGATAAAACCTAAGTTGCGCATTGACTATTGTATTCTCATACTTGGCAGATATCTGAACCAAATGAGTTTGACATCATGCTTGTAATGCCCATTTCAAGACTTCAGCTTGATGAATGCGATGACACTGGAGCCTATTATTATCTAACATTCAAAAGAAATCCGAAAGAAAAGCATTTGTCCAAGTTTTTAGATGAAGATGGAAAATTATCAGCCTTTAAAATGCTTCAAGCACTAAGAGAAATTATTAAACAAGAAGTAAAAAACATTAAAAGTAAGTATGAGAGCACAAACTTCACCTAGGAGTGCTAAAAATCCAATTACACTGTGCATATGCATTGCCCTGTTAATAAAATGTGATTCCCCCCCCCCCCGCCCCACTCCGCCCCTTTCCCCGCACTATTGCGGTAACATAGCTATAACTGTAACACCTCCTGTCCCCGGTATCTCAAGTTTGCTCTTGCGCTAAGAATCGTCACAAATACATCAAAACTAATCATATTATGTGATTAACCTATTGTTCTACTATGCAATCTTCCTTCCATATAAAAATAATGAATATTACAGTTTCTGTTGCGTGCTTGCTACTTTCTACATGACCTATATATTTTGAATCTGTCTGCCGTATATGAAGAGCCATTTGCTGAACTGGTAGCAAAAGGAGGAGCTTTCTTTCATACGTTACCTAATATTTTATATCTATCTATATAGAAATCACATTCCCCTTTAGGGTGCTCTTTTTCTCCGAAGCCTTCAGACGCATTGTGGCCAAATCTCTTCAGTCTGTGTTTTCAACAGTGAAGCAGTTCATCGGAAAACATTACTGTATTTCTGATTCTGTAGACATATCAAATCAAGCAAACACAGCAGTTCAGGAAGAGTGTTCCTTATTTCATAGAACTCCTCAACAGGCCTTCTTAATGTTTTATTTAAAATCCGTATCCTGTAGGATAAAGAGCCAGTGACTGCACCCAGGTATTTCTTTTGATCGATTATAAATTCCTCTTAATTACTCAAACCTTAACATTGTTAAAAAAAAAGTTTTAATATATAAATATGTATTAAAAAAAAATGACTTTCTTCTTTGTTACTAGATGTGGAAGTAACTGTGAAAAGGAGAAAGGCTGGCAGCCCTGCAATAACTCTTCAGATCAAAAATCCTCCAGCAGAAATATCAGTGGACATCATCTTGACTTTGGAAGTTCAGCAGAGCTGGCCGCCCAGCACACAGAATGGCCTCAAAATTGAACAGTGGCTGGGAAGAAAAGTCAGGGGAGAGTTCAGAAATAAATCACTGTATTTAGTAGCCAAACAAAACAAAAACGAAAAGGTTCTAAGAGGTACCTCAAATAGAGACAATAAATCTAAGTTATGAAATATCTTCTCTACAACTTGATCACTTACAAGTGCTATAAAAAGGGTATCCATAGTCTGTTCAGTATTCTGCCTTCAAGGTACAGATCTTTCTCTTATCCTGGATATATCCAGATCAAAGACAAGCGAAATCCCTCTTTTAAAATACCAGATTTGTGACACCGCTTGTCCTGTACTGAAATCTGAAGACAAAACTGCTCTGCCAGGCTGTATACTAACCGTTCCCAAGGGCGTTATGTTAAATCTAAGTCAGAACACGACTATAGACCGTTCCTGTGCTAGTGCTGTACTTAACAGCAACATCCACTCCTTTGCTTTGTAAGAAAAGAAAGTAAATTAAAGGGCGATTTCTAAAAAGGCAGGCAACGTCCCTGTAAGTGGGACTGTATACACAAGTTACATAGTTCTGCAGGAAGTAAACCGTGTACTTTTCTAGCAAGATACATTATTTCTTATTGAACTCTGGTATAGCTACATTTTTTTTTCTGCAGACCACTGTCACGCCAAGCCTATGTTAGTTTGCGGAAACATCCCAACTTGTCATTGCATTATGAGAACTGATGATTTCAGCAAAAAGAGTTCAGGCAATCTGGTATTTTTTTTTAAATTAGCATGCCCACCTTAATGATGCCAAATAAGTCATTACTGCTCTGCTGGGCTATCTCTTCCTGTGAAAATGTAATGCAAAGCGTAACTGAACCAAACAGGCAAGGGAAACAGTCTAACTTCTCTAAAGAAGAAAAAAAATTATCACTGGCCTTTTAAAAACAGGGGGTTGAGCTATGTTAATCATTGTTTTCAGAAACATTACCAGAAGAACAAAAATAAACCTTACCTGAGACAAACTCACAAGCATATTAGTTGCACAAAGAAATTGAAACCAATAGTGGAGATTTTTTTGTTCAAACCAGAATGGTTACACAGTAAGGCTAATAATACAGAACAGAAATTGAAAGGTAGTAGATTTCTACGAGTAGTGCAATTCCCCAAATCATGTTCAACAAATGCAGGGAAGTTCAGAATTAAGCTTAAAGTAAATCCAAACATCCTTAAGAATATAGTTAATTGTTTGGATGCTTTAACTATGTCCTATATTAATAACGTTCTGGTTGTCTTTGTGTGGAGCAGCTGGGGAATTAAGGAGGAATTAACTAATTGTAGTCACTGAATTGGGATTTTTTTTTTTTTAAAGTGCAAAGAAATTGCTGGTATTTAAAATTAAGTCAATTATAAAAAGTGTCTTTTTTTTTTCCTAGTTACAGACACCAGTACTTACTGCTGTGTAACACTTTAACAATCTTGTACTCAACTTTAGGAAACACCTGGCGACTCTCTTTCTCACACATTGAGAAGGCCATGCTGAACAACCACGGCAGCTCAAAGACATGTTGTGAGTCTGATGGACCAAAGTGCTGTAGGTTGGTATTTCATATGAATATTTCACTTTAAGCCTGTGTGAGCCACGCTAGCACTGTCTAATAGGACACTGTCTTGATAGGACGAGAGGAAATGGCCTCAAGTTGCGCCAGGGGAGGTTTAGATTGGACATGAGGAAAAATGTCTTTACTGAAAGAGTGGTTAAACATTGGAAGAGGCTGCCCAGGGAGGTGGTGGAGTCCCCATCCCTGGAGGTATTTAAAAGACGAGTAGATGAGGCGCTTAGGGACATGGTTTAGTGGGCATGGTGGTGTTGGGTCGACGGTTGGACTCAATGATCTTAGGGGTCTTTTCCAACCTTAATGATTCTATGATTTTAAGTTTAACACTTAAGAATTTGATCTAAGACTAATTACTCATCATAGGGAGCAAGAATAAGGCTTTTATGCATCATTGTTCCACAGCGGTACAACATTGCATGTACGTGCTGAACGTCTGACTTGCATTTACTCAATGAGAGGTGGAGACAAATCACATTGCAGGTTTACACTCCAGACTTGCCTTAGAAAGCAAAAAGATGAGACTTGTTGAATAATCTTTCCCAAACTCAGTCCTGTTTAGAAGAACCAGCTTAAAAGTCTGATGACTCAGCTTTCTGAGCTTTGGGAACAAAATTATACTTCATACCAAGGCAATTTCTAAAATGATGCTGAGAAAAGAACTGCTGAATGCAATCAGGATGAACAAGTGTGATTTTTCACTCCAATAAAAACTGGTTTCCACATTTCTTCGAAGAGAAAGAACAAAACCCATGTGAGGTACAGAACCTCCTTAATGGCAAACCAACTTTAGTTTACTTAATTACATCTTACACTGAATCGAGAAAGTCACAAGAGAACTAATGCGTAATTCTTTGTCTTTGCTTTATGAGTATTATCAGTCATGCTATGCCCCTACCTAGCAGTGTATTAAACTGTACATACACCTCTTCCCCTCGTGGCGTGCCACAGATTTACATTTTCTTCAGTGTAAATCCAAGCCGAAAGGGCAGCTTTAATCTTAAGCAGTGCTCCGAGTTCATGTTACACCGGTAGCATCTGCAACTGGGAGACTGTACTGGGTAAGCACGCTGCTGACCAACAGACTGTATTTCTGTGTTGCTGTGGCTACCGGTGAAGTGGTGCATGCACAAAAACTATTGTTTAAAGTAGAAATCCTTCATTGCTAGAATCTGACTTCATACGCACTAATTCAAAGATTATCCAGCCTATTGCTGCACTTAATTTCAGATTTAATTCAAAACGTTATTGAAAATGTTACTCTATCGGAGTAATAACATTTTTATTGCTTTCATGAATAATGTGTATGTAAATATCTAAAATACATACTCAGAACTGACTATGTAGAAAGCACCTAATAAATTCTTATTTATTTAACAGGAAAGCTTGCCTTAAGCTTCTGAAGTATCTTCTAGAGCAACTTAAAATAACACATACAAAAGAGTTGGAAAAATTCTGCTCATATCATGTCAAAACTGCTTTTTTCCACTCATGTGTCACGTGGCCAAATGACGCAGACTGGCATTCAGGAGACCTGGATCACTGCTTTCAGAAATATCTGAAATATTTTGTGGATTGCCTGCAAAAGTCTCATCTGCCCCACTTTTTTATTCCCCAATACAACTTGCTCAGCCTGGAAAATAAAGCAAGCAGTAATTTCCTTTTAGAACTAATAAACAAAGAGTGGAACAATGGATTCCCAATATTTCAGGAGAAGTATAAAAAAAATAGTTTACAGTAATTATCTAATTGTGTAGATTTTCATATTTAAAACCAGAAGTTCTGCACCTTAAGTCACTCCTCAGTAGTCTGATACTACAAAAAACCAAAACAAAAATCAAGAACACCAAGAGAGAATTGCATATTTCAGTCACGCTGCTTAGCAATAACCCTTCAAAGAAGTGGGACGTTTTAAGTGATACTTACCTTCCCTATCCAAATGTAGAAGTCACCTGCAAAATATCTTCAAGGTATACTAAGAACATATAGAAGAATTTGCAATAGTTAATCTCCCACATGTAATTTCTACAATTCCAAATATAAAGGCATCAATGACTGGGTAAAGTGAAAAATGACAATTTTATTTAAAATGAAAATCCACTGCAGAATATCCAAAATACACTCTTGCTTTCAAAAGAAAAAAGGTCACTGGAGTTACTTTGACATAAACCAGAACAACTTCTCCAGATCAACTGGGTGGATGAAGACTTTTTGCAGACGACAATCACCAGCAACAGTGAGCAGAGAGAGAATACAGTATCAAAAAAATATGAAGTTCCTGAAGTAACTTATCTTTTGAGTCTTCAGAATTGCTTTGGAAATTAGTCTCTTCACTGGACTTTGGACGGGAAGCGATCGTTATCTAATGTGCTGCAACACAGTAAAAGTTATTGTGCCAATGAGCATTTGTGTGACGAATCTTGTAAAAAGAAATTTATCTTCAACCCGTACCAAAGAGGAAGAGTCTCCATGTGAAAGGTTATCAAAACCAAAATGCAGCATGAATCTGACGTTCTCGGAATCAGAGTTCAGCTCAGTTTTTCTTATGTTGAAGAGTATGTGTGTTAGGAAAAAATAATAATATTTCCTATTACTAAAATTATGCAGGTGATAAATACACAGCATTTGGGAACTCCTGTGCTGTAAATAAATACATCTTTTGCTTTTTCTTAAAGAAGCTATGGGAAAGGGTATTTTTAGCCTACTTTTTGAAGGCAAAATAACCTATTGGCTTAAATAATGCCCAGATTTCACCTCAGTTACGAGCAAATAAAAAAAGAGGGAAGGTGAGAAGAACATTTAGAGAATAATTTTACTAAAATATTCTCCTCTCACTAGATTCAGTTTATTAGTTTTTAATTTACTCACATGACACATGAGTAAACACAAGTTCAGACCAAGCATCAAATGAAGGAATAGCTCCTTCCCGTATAACTTCCAAAGAGTGAAAACATACCCCATTATCATTAGCAGTCTGTGTGACAGAATCTGACATCCAAATGTAAAATTTCAATCAACTTTATCTGAAGGGAATAAAAGCTGACCTTCAAATGTATTTTTTCTTCTTTGTTAACGTTGCTCTAGTAAACTCTGTTTTTCTTCCTTCAGCTAGAAAAGTCCATCCATGAGAAAAGTAGAAGCTGTTTTTTTTTTTTTCCAGTTAGCCACGAACACATCTTGTTATGCTCTCCTCCATTAGGAGGAAATGCAGACTTCTCTCAAAAGAAAGCTTGAGACACAAGTCTTAACAAAAATGACTAAAAAAAATACTTGCTTCAGCAAACATCAGTTACTGCAAATAGCAGTTTTCAAATAACTAAGTTATCCTTGGAAATACTTTTGCATACCACTGGCAGATATGGTGTATCAATGCAAGAGTATTTTGAAGCCACACTGACAAACATTGCCCACATTCACTAATCCAGTTCTCTGAAAATAAAAGGAAAAATTATCTTTTACATTTTTATATGTAAATATGTAATTATGTATATACACATATATACGTATATATGTAATATAAGAATATGTAATACTGCATTTAACAACAACAAAAAAAACCCCACCAAACAAACCCACAATATTTGTTTTTAACCGGTAGATAATGGCTTTAGAAGCTATGCACAAAACAATATTTGTTTTTAACCGGTAGATAATGGCTTTAGAAGCTATGCACATCAAACAAGAAGAAATAATGAAATTAATTTTTCTTAAGTGAAAATAGTGTCCAAGTGCAAAACTAGATTTATTTCTATATAAAGTTAATCCAGTTTTCTTTTCTAAGCCACTTGTTAAAATGCATTTTATTTAAATAGGAAAGGTACAGAAAACAATCAACTGAAGAGAAACTTCTAAATTCAAGCCCATAGATGCTAACACTAACTATAATCACTTACTTTGTTTCAGTATCTTCAAGGGATTACAGTTATTTTGAGGGCTTTCTCGGAGGTCTTCGTATATCCTTTTCAATTTCTTTTCTGATTTGAAATTGTTTGTATCTTTCTGCCATTGCAATAAGCTCATTAGGAACTACCTGATAAGAAAGCAGTACAAGAAAAGGTCAGTTTTAAATAAATCTAAACTTTTAGACCCTGCTTTACAAAAATGCTATCGATTTGTATGTTCCCAAACTTGATATTCTTATTTATCTGGCTCCTGTCACTTTGCAGATTGTCTTTTCTGTAGAGATGCATGGAGAAATCTTTTTACATAAAATTATACTGAAATATACTGAAAAATAATCAGCACAGTGTCCCTGGATTTTCAATTGCATATGTATGCTAGTATCACCATATCTGATGACAACATATAACCAGCTCATTAAAGCATTATTTCAGATAGAAATGTATCTTTCAGTGATAACGGACTGCTGGAAAAAAATGTCCAATGCCACTAAAAGGTGATACCATACTATATATATTTGAATGTCACACTTATGATTGATATTAAATTCCTTTTGGAAGTTTTAAGAGCCTCTGAAGAGAAACTTTGGTACTTAAAGAAAGCGTTGCCATAGGAAGGGTTCTCACATGGATAAAACAAAGCTAAAAAGACAAGAAAAGAAGGGCGAGAGAAAGTGGTCAGTTCTCCCACCACTGCAAGGTCAGGAGGGCATCTTACCAAGATCCACAGTGTTTTTTGGCATGTTTGTAATTATGTGGAAAAGGAGGTGAATAGTATCGTCAGCACACACTGTCACCTCAGAGTTACTCATGTTCGGAAGGACTGAGGCCAGATGCAAAGAATTACAGACAGACTTTATTAGGTTAAGTGACGCTGATCACTGAATGAAAGAAAAAAAAACACATACCATTCTTATAGACCATGGAACAAAGGCAGCGTCCAACAAGTCTTCTTAAACCAGATCAGGCATAATGCAGACATTAATGCAATGTTTACTACAAAAAGCAGTACGGGTGACTGTACTGTCAGAAGATGTTTTAGACCACTCATCTATCAAAACCGGCCTGCTTCAGCAATCTGCTACAGCATGTAGCCGTGCAGCAGGTAGAAGATACCCAGTCCAGAATCAGTTTCCTGATCACAGAGTGAAGAGCAAGCTTCTGCAGCACGTGTGAGCATGAGATTAATGTGACTGCTCAGTCTCTGCAGCTTGTCCCTTCACGAGTGGCACGAATACAGTGCAAACAGTACAGTACAAACTAATTTAAATATTTACATCTCCTTAGAAACACCTAGACCTGGCAATGCTTGAACAGGTGAAGAATGCATCCAGGACAAAGGGCCTGGTGGAGAAGGAAGGTTCCAACTCCAGTTCCAACTTCTTTTGTCAGGCTTTGTAATTCAGCAATGCTTGCCGTTTGCTATCGGCAACTTTTCTCAAGCTGGCATGAGAGTCAGCTCGCTAGTACATATTTTACATGCTGAATTGCCCTTACTGGTAAACAGCTGCCCTGGTTGTCAGGAGTCCATAGAACAGGATGCCTATGAAACAGTCTATTCTGCCTACATTTTAGACACTTTAAAAACAACGTGAAGAATGATGCATCTCTCTAGCTGGAAGTCACTTACAGACTTGTGTCACTAGAGATAGAAGTAACGAGACAACATTAGTATCCGCTTGAAACACTGGATAATTTTCTTCCTCAGTGTCAGATCAGATCCTCTCCTACAGCATGACACAGAATTTATTCCAACTAAAACTGCAACAATTTCTTGCGAGAGCAGTTTTTGAGCAGGCACAAGGAAAGAGCGGGAAGAAGCCAGGATACAGAACATAAAAATCTCAGTGAGGTAGTATCCAGTACTAGTGCTTTGTTAAGATTTTTAGAGGGACAATCTGTGTATCTGCTAAACATATAAGCTAGGTATGGTAGTCCAAATGAGAAAACAGACAAGAATAAAGATGCCATAATTTATATGTAACACTCTTCTTGGTATTACAGAGATCAGTGTTTTTCCACCTGATTCCCTAATAAATCTTGTCCATGCTTCTTAATAAGCTTTATTAAGCTTATTATATTATTATTATTATATAAGCTATATATATATATATATAAAAAGATCCCCACAGCGTGATACAGAAATCTTTCTGTTCTGCCTGTTTTTCTTTAGGGAGATTATCTGTACATTCAAAATCATGGAAAACATCTGGCTAACAAATGCACCTTACTCATTTTGAAATTGAAGTATTCCGAACATTCAGATCATGTTTTCAGTCACTCTCCTTCCCTTTTACATGATGCTTTCAGACTGAAGTAATGGTACTTTCACTGTCATGGGGGGGAAAAACCCCCGCCTGTATGGATACTTCCCTTCTATCAGCTATAACTAAAAGTTTGAGAATGCTGTGACTAACAGTTACCCTTGAAAGTAAGGATTCAGAGATGCTCTTTTCTCCTCTGAACTCAGAGACCCGTTCCCGGTTGAACTATCACATGTTAAAAAAGTTTGGGGACTTTACACTCTGCAGCAGTAGACAAGGCACGGATACTAACGGCTGACTCAGAATACAGAATAAGGCACCTCCAAGTTCTATTTAAGTGGCTTCAAATTATCATTACTGGTTTAATCTCTTACATTTTCTAAAAAAAAAAAAAAAAAAAAAAAACCCCCCCCCAACCCCAAAAACAAAACCAAAAAAACCCCACAAACCAAAAGCCAACCCCCCCCCCCAACAACCACCCAACAAACCCCCAAACCCCCAACAACACAAAACAAACAAACCCCCAAAACCCCAACCAACCAAAACATGCCCTGCCCCCCCCACCTGCAACTTTAAGAAATTATTAGGGGACAACTCTTGGTTGTTGGGTTTTTTTTTCCCCTCCCTCAAAAGCATCTTATCAGGTTTGCAATAAGTGGCATAACATCTTTCAAAGAAGAGTTGTAAAACAGAAGATTTAGGTGAAGTTCTAACTCAGGGTTTAAAGTTTGAGTAAGTGTCCACAGTAACAATCACAGGTCCTAGGTAAAAGCCATTTGGTTTGTACTCAAACTCCCATCCCCCCAAATAATAATAAAAAAAAAAAGAAAGAATTTCAACTTAAGTCAGGGCATGAACTGGGGTTTTACTATAAGTCAGGCAAAATACTGTTTCTTGTTACAGCAAGAAACAGCAACATAATTGTCTCTGGCTTCTCAGATATGGTAGCAAGAAAAAAAAGTTTCTTTAAAATAAGGAAACAAATCACATTCCAGTCCAATTTCCCATACTATTTACAAACATCTGTAAGAAAGATATCTGCATGTACTTTTCCAAGCTATCAC